GAAATTAAACAATATGCACTTATTTAAATTTTGTGACAAAGTTATATATAATAATAATAAGTGAATGAAAAAAGGACAGTGTATAATTTTTTTTTTGTTACTTTGAAAGTAGACCTGAAATAAAAAGTATGATAATCGACCAGACTTTTGAAATAACATTGAATTATTTTGGCGATTTAGCTAGTGTTATGCTAAATGTGTCGCCGGTGTGTATATATTATCCTGGGTATTGAGGCGGGCTTGACACACAGAGTTCCGTTTTCTTTTTTATAAAATACCTGTTTTTACCTCTTCTTAGCTCTGCAGTTCTGGTATTCAAGAGAAAATTCGAAACGTTGGGGTAGCAACACACGTTACAATAACCATCGTGTGAACCAAACCGAGACATATTTTGGAGCAAACTTCTCAACAACAACTTAGATTTTTCTTTCGTGGTAATTGTTTACAATTAATAAAATATAAATAAAATAAAAGATCGTATTTTGCAGTTAAATGTCAATACCGTAAATCGAATAAAAAATTTACAAGTAACTCTTAAATGCTCAAAGAGGTTAAAATGTCATCAGAACCCATTTAGTTGCGCTTAATAGCTAGCCGCGAGGACGTAATCTTGGCGAGAATATCATCTTTCCCCCAACAGATTGGTGTGAATGTGCTCTAAACGTCAAATCTTAGAAAGTTACAACTATTTGAAACCTGACCCTTTTTTGCTATATCGGATGCTGCGAGCCTGACACGTAATTTCCCAACGTCAAAACAGCCATACTGTCTAGTAGGTCAAACAAACGAATGAACCGGCGGACACCGAGCGCACCACGGGGTAAATTTTACCGTCTAGGTACTGTACTCCAAAATTTCAAGAACAGGCATTGTGTATCCGCGTGCACACTGCTGGATTATTGAAAGATGGAACAATTGTGATAAAGAAATGAAATGTATCTGACTAAAAATGATTTTGTAGATTTTTAACTTATTATCTTCTCCTGTAACTATAGAATGATGGTCATTGTTTGGCGAAAAAAAAATAATATACGTCATCTACAAGTTATTGGAATTGAGTCTCCACTAAATCCTATAAGTACGAGAGCTATAGTTACTTACAATTCGTTTTGCGTTATGATTTTTGTCTATATCTGATACACGGCTAAATTTGGTTAGTGACAGAAAAGAACAGTAGCAGAAAAACACAAATGCGCGTCTCTATATGTTTATAACATCCAGATAATTTTGTGGCACGAGACTTATTAGGATTGATTTGTTTTAATAATGCAGAAATACTCTATTGTTTTTTTGGAAATGTACTTAAATGATTGAAGTTTAATTAGGATAATTGTATGTAAGTAATTCTTTTGCATACTTTCTGGCATTTAATCGATTGTGTAATTGTTAAGCTTCTAAGCTTTCTTCTTCTTTACAAATAATATTCATAAATAAAAAAATATCAAATGTAAGGATAAGTAGATAGACTCTTATACATTCTGTGACCTCGACATACCAAAATACCAAATACCCAACAACACGTGACTTCGGATATAACAACAAAACAAAACGTGCATCGATACCATTCCCCTACCCACTCCCCACTGATAAACTAACAATAGTGCATCCCACTGAATTGTTTATTTTGGCTCCACCCAACAAAAGTCGCTCGTTAGAGAGAATCACATTCCAAGTCCATCCGATTCCTGCTATCCTGGTACAATGGGTAACCAAAATATGTGACTTATGTCCCATGTGGGCTATTTTTGAACATCATGTTCTATTTTTATTCACAAGCTTGTTTATTTTTTAAATCTAGCCAGTTTCCTACACAACCACATCTATGTGTGTGTATACAGCGGGAGGGGTGGCCGTTTAGGTTTTTTGCCAGTTCATCCAAACCATGGAATATTTTGGGGAGCGAAGTATGGCGGTATAAATATGAATTTAGATATAGTTATTTTTGATACAAGTGCGGAAAGTTTGTCATTGTTTACGAGTCGCGAGACTTTTTGGCCCGAGCCAGAGGCGAGGGTCAAGACTCGAGACAAGTGAAAATGACAAATCCGCACGTGTATATCAAACGACGTTTTTTAATACATTTGCGAAAAAACTACATTGAAAGTAAAATAAAACAGTATATTTTAGAGGCGCGACTCGCAGCGCAGCGGTCTCGCGTAATACTCACCTCCGGCCATTGTTAATACTCAATCAGCCATCTTTATGCAAAATATTTTGGTATTTTTAAATGTAACCCGTTGTTTTATAAAACACCTATGCAATTTAAACAAATAAGATGTTTGTAAGTGAATATAAGTTTTAATGACGAATGACTTAGTAAAAATACGTAAAAAGCACTAGTGCGAATAATCCAACTTTCGGCACGATTTGAAGATTTGAAGTACGAAAAATACCACGTTTTGAGCAACTGTATTAAAAATATAATTTAAGAAAACTCTTCAAAGTGTTCGAAGCGTGTCGCTTTCTTCCCCATTTATATTGAAGTGTCCATAGTCTCCTACGTTTACCATCAAGAAACCACTATAGTGCAAACACAATTTCTGTTCAACTGGTATTTTCTACAAAATTCAACCTTCTCGGTTGTCCTCGTATCCTAGTTAACTGCGATGAATATTTATTACGTCACCGTGTGCGCCCGCTGTTCTGTGAAATTCAAGCCTAGTCAACGCTACTAATAGGAGGGGTGCGATTTTGCGATAAACCTCTTGTGACTTTCTGGTAGTTTGGTAGTTGTTATGAATATTACGCGACGTGATTTATTTATTGTGTGGTGTGCTCGTGGCGTTATTAGATTTTTATTCTTTAAGATCCTTTGACTCACCGATCAGACAGAGGTGGTAAATTTTTTTATTGCCTGAAGATAAAAGTCGATAAAAGAAGCGTTTAATTAAACCAATTTTCTGTCGTTCTAATGTAAATGTTGACTCAACACGTGATTGAGCAAGCAAGGTGAAAGGTGCGTGCAATGTTTTTGTCTTTAAAACTTAGGTATATTTGAAGTTTTTCCATTTAATACAGTACAAATTGCTAAAGTTGTTGAATTAAATTCATCGTCACTCGTCACTTAACCTGTGAAATGTATGTTAGTAAATTCTTAATCCAATCCTTCATTCCAAAATTTGTACTTACTCATTTCATACTCCTTCATGTATTTGCAACGCGAAACCGTTAATTTGTTTTCTTCTATTGATCCTTACACCGCATACTTCTCTATTTTTATTATTGCCTAGTACTCTAACACCATAGGGGTGTAAAATCCCATTGTTATATGTTTACAATGGGGTTCGTTTGACAAACAGGAAACTAACAGCTGCGGCACAGAAAGAGATAGCTACACTCTTTCCTACAGCATTTTATGTGGGTGAGTCACGCCTTCGAGTATGGTGGGTAAACAGAGGGTGAGAAAGGAATATTTGACACCTTTGGTGCTTATGCGGTCCTGGTAGTAGAAAGTTTTAGAAGGCACGGATTTTGTTTGGCAAAGATTACTTCGCTTGCAAAACGAAAAAAAGATAAATGGTATTTTAAAAATATACGGGTGACTGTCATATTCCGACAAAAATGAACATTTGCATGATTCCTTCATAATGTATCGAAAACAGGTTGCAAAATATTACAATGGCATTCGCTGAAACGACATAAAAAAACTGGGACTGTGTGTGTTAGCTATTTTTCATGTTCTTCTCTGACGCTATTGTGGGGAACACAATAGGGTCGGGTACCAGGCTCCCAGAGCCTATACAGAGATTGACTGATCGCGTAAATTGAATGTCCGTCGAACATGATAGCGACAACACCCCATTGTCCGGAGACTATTCAACACATAGCCAATATTTCCATCGGCGAAACGTTCATATAGACGTGAGCAGCAGAATGCTGAAGGCACGTCTTCCGGGTCAGCACGTGTCGTCCGCGGCCGCTCTACCGTGAATTCTCGTTAAGTTCAGAATGGCGGTACGTTGAACTAGCGGGAGACAATAGGTATTTCTATCAAGATTCCCATTCATTCCATTAGTTGACCCACCAGATTATTTGCATTGTTTAGTCTGAAAATATTTCCATCTGAAACTTTACTCTTTAAGTAACATTTTGTCCTTTAGCACAGTATAAACAGAAAGAAAATTTGTTAAAATGACATAATCCCAACTCGCATTTATTTGTTGCCGTGTAAGTCAATAAACTTTCTAATTTTATCTACAAATACTTCGGACAACTCTAGTAACACATCATCACATCACTTGTAAAAAAGTCTTACCTGTACTATTTTTGTCTCACACTCTGATAAAAGCTCTCTACATTCACTTTTTCTTTTTATCATCACTTAATCTTTTACCAGTATTCGAATCTAAATTGAAAATGGCGTAATAAATTCCGGGATAGAACGCATTCCCGTGATATTGATATCCCAAGTACTAGGCTAGCAGAAGTATGTAGGCATGTCTTTCAAGTGCGTGTTGGGCGTAGAAAGGATTGTGATGAATGGCGCCTCAGGATCGACCGCTCGTTGCGCTTGAACCGAGCTTCTATTTCTATACGCCGTCACATTCCTTTTATTATGAATAATTATATACTGGTTTACCTAAGATCCTTTTCATGCTTAGACTAACCAAAAACAGTGGTAGACAAGATCTAGTGTAGCCATTATGTAGAGTTGTAAAAGCCGCGTTTAAGCTACTCAAAGTACCCAAATATTATGACACAATTCGATTTTGCCCACCGTTAATTTAACTAACAGTAACTATAAGTCCACACCGCCCGGTCAGTTAGTTCTAACTCTGTACACTTTGCCTGTTGTTTAATATAATACATGTGTGCTCTCAAAAACTATAATATGAATCAGGATTGTGTAAATTATATTGATGTTTTATGGCCTCCGGTTGCGTTTGTCATTCACACTATACTATAGTTATGTATTTATTATATGTGAATTAAGAAAACTATATTTTTTGTGAGTGAACCTTTCATATGAATCTAACAAATGTTCCTGTGAATTGTTGCAGCTCGTGGGCGGCGAGTTCGATATGGAGCTCAACTTCGTGATCCAGGACGCGCAGAACATCCAGCATATGCTGGAACTCTTAGATAACTGCCCACCCAGCTTGCAGGTATGACAATTAAATCCACATTTTTTAAGTCTTAAAAAGTTTTCATTTAATTTATTGCAACCATTACATTTTTTAAATCATAATGATTGATTGCAAAGTGCCATTATTGTGCTATTAATAAGCAACATGTTCTTACAAAAATGTATTCTTACTTTACTTTTGTCGTAGTTTTTCAGTTCACTTACCTTCATAGGTTTATTTCGACAAGAAAAGGGCAACCATCCATCTAGGTGACGTCACAAAAAATGACGCTGCGGAGTAAAAGACGACATGATACATCGGCCTCATTTTTAAACCTTTTTCTTTTTTGCCCGTTTAAAGACGCCCATCCCCTTTTTAAACCTTCTCTTTCTACACCATTTAAGTTACATTATAGTCGAAGGAGACAAGCCTTATGCATTTTTTTACCTTTTTTTACGGAGGTAGGCCTTCGTGATTTTATTTCCTTTTTCTTTGGAACTTGATACGGCGACCGTTTCGTATGTCATGCAGTCCTGGTACCAAAGTAGATCAAGTTTAACCCTTGAGACGTTGCTCAATCATTTTTGCAATGTATGCATGCAATTTTTTCAACACTGTAATAGTAATTATATCAAAATAAAAACAGGTTTGGGTCTCAGTTAGTTTTTTAAGATAGAGTTTTGTTTAAACCATTTTGAACGTTAAAGTCTTAAAGAATAAGGTGCTGTTTTTAGATAAGATTATTAGTTTTGTCGTGTTTATTGTACGTTTAGTAATGTTTAGTGTCGGAAGTAGGACGTGATAGCGGTCCAAGGGAGAAACGTTGCTAAACGCATAAATCTTCTGGCGGCATAATTTTTTTTAATAAGTGAGTATTTTTTATTTGAACCTTCCATAGTTATAATTAGTAATTTTAATGGCCGCGTAAGCACCGAGTAAATACTGAATTAATTTAACAATAATTCTCGATTCCATTCTACTGGAGTCTCCGGGACTGAATAGAGAAATCTCAATTCGACCTAATTAGAAGCATTGAGTTGAGCGACGGAATTTCATGGGCCTTTTGTGCCGCTTGATTAATATTAGAGTGGTCCGAATATACGAAGATTGGCTGCTGAATTGTTAATCTGCCAAGCGTAAGGTATTTTGGCGCTAAACGATGTTCCACAAGAATTTTTTGCAAGCTTTTTAAAATCCTCATTGAACTCGTGACTTTCAAAATAGAATGTTTATCATTTATAAACCGGAGCTTTAATAAAGTTTCATTAAAATGGCATCATTATAAACTATGTATATTTCTGTGCTTTTAAGTTATGTATAAACATAACTTAAATATAATTTTTTTATTTGTTTCAGTTAACATACTTCCTTTTGTTTCAGGTCTTTAACCTTGTTGTTTTGTACACGAAAGTGAATTAAGAAAAAATTTCAACTGTAATGCCGCGAAAGTAGACCTTCGATTTTTGTTTGGTCTACTGGCATTGTTTTATTTTTTCGCAGGGTAAAAGTAGAGACTCTCCAGGGGTTAGATATCTTGTGTTCAGTTCATCGTCAGCGTTGATGTGTTAACACCCCAGTGGGAGACGCTTGATGATATGAATTTATGTTCATCAATGTATGTATAAGTGTAAATGTTAACAACAATTTACTATTATTGAAACAACAGAAATAACCAATGTCACTCATAATAGATTTTCCTTTCTTTGTTAACAAAAGTACCTACCTTTTGTCTCAAATTCTCGTCAGAAAGTTTTATTTTTGGCGAAATTGCCCGTTCTGTAGTAGTCGCTTTATCCATCTTGTTAGTTTTGCAATTTTGGAACTCTGTGTTGACGTGTATAGACACGTTGATGTTTTATTCATTTTATTTCGAGTTTGTTATTTTTCTTTTATATATTTTAATATGGTACTTTTCCCTTCATTTCGTCGGCATGTATTGACTACATTTACATTAATAACCTTTCCATGTGTGTTATGTTGCAACTTTATTATGGGGGAAATCAATAATGCAAGGTAGTGGCCAACATGTTTTGCTTGTGTTAATCGTCAAATTTGGCAAGAAATAACAATGAGATGCGTAGCACTATTAATGAGAATTACCCGGGTTCAACACTCGGCTGGATTATTGTATGTTTACAAGCTTGACTTCGAGTGCGGTCTCTTATATTGGGCAAACGAAGCGTAGTATTATATCCGCGTCAAAGAACATAACTGATGTCAAACGCCGCCACGTAAATAAGTCTGCAGTCTGCGAGCATGTCATGAATAAGCCTGCACACTCAATTCAGTTCGACAAAACCCACGGCCTTGCAAAAGAAATCCGTTATTTACTCAGGATGCTGCGAGAGGCCATTGAAATTAAAAACATCCTGATTTCAACAGGGGAGATGATTTATCCGTTCCACGAGTTGGGATCCTTTATTTCCTCTAATGAAAAATCCCAAGCTGACATAAGACTGCATTGATAATTAATTATGTTTTCATTTTTTCTAATGACCAATAATAATTTATAATAAAATAAAATTAATAAATAAATTTTTATTGTTAAAATGAAATAATTTGTAAAACATATGTAGCGTACATTGGAATGTTATTTGGAAAGAAAAAATAAAAAATTTGGTAATTAATCAATAACTTTTCTAACAATAGTGAAAAATATTTGGTTTAAAAGGTTTGCATAAATATTAGACATAATTGGTTGATGACTTTACCATCTCAGTGACCTGTGACCATGACTCGGATTCATATATTTCTCAAATATAATGTTACTGTATACATTGCGCTAAATGTCAAAGTATAAGAAATTATATTGTGATCGTCAAACAAAAATGAAAATTATAAGATGAAAATATACAATAATTAGAAAATTAACAATTCATTGATAATAATATTGTTGTCATTAAATTACATATGAAATATCGTTCTCCATCAAGTATCGTCATAGGTTGATAACAAATATACAAAAGTATGTCAGTGCGATAAAAATTACAATAAAATAGAAAATACTCGAAAATGCAACGCATTTTTAGGTCTTTAAATTCATTTACAAGTAAAAAGTATTTTCCAAGAAAAGGTCTTTGTCTTTGGCCAGCGCCTAAATGTTTCGTCAGATGGTTCAAGTCTGAGAGTAGCGGGTAGACGCTCATGGTATGTAAGTAGGTCTGATGCCACGCGGGTTTTTCTCTGCAAGTGCCATGCGTCGAGGGACTGTTCTCAAATGACCGGTACATTTTGTATGAACATTGACATGAACATTTTGTATATGTTGACTGATTGGTGCGTCATTATGCGTTGCGCTACAAAGAGATTTCTTCTGGAATGTCTGTGGACCTGTAAAGAGCCCGAAACGTTGGTTGTTGAAAAACAAATATATGCTATTGAAACCGAAAAAAAAGCTTCATTTCCTACGTATAACAATCGCGAAAACCTAAGAAATTGATATGTAGGAAATATTTTTTTCTTAATTGTTTATGATCTAAGCGCTTTGGTAATCATACTCATAGTACCAATGAATTAGAGTTTGATACCAGGTATTGGTGTAGTTATCGGGAAGATTATTGTTGAAATGTACAGACATACGTCAAAATTTATTACTACGATAAAACTGAACGTAACTATATCTATAAATTCATATTGACCTCATGTACGACGGGGCTATAAATAAACTCCCCGACAAGATTGATAAGTAAGTGGCCTACTGGGACAGATAGTGTTTCTAATTTGGTGACTTGTTCATCAAGTTTCCGTAGTGTAGCGGTTATCACGTGTGCTTCACACGCACAAGGTCCCCGGTTCGATCCCGGGCGGAAACAGTAATTTTGTAAATATTCGTTACATATATATTTTGATAGTTTGGGGGTATTTTTTTTACTATTGAATATTATAACTGTGAACAGCATTTCACATTTTGGATCCAAAATTAAAACTGTAGTAGGTTGAAACCCTGCATGCTGTTATTTTATTTTAAACGGTTTCCAACTATGCAATTCCATGTACCAAGTGCTACAGTTAAACAAGCTCCAAAAGTCGATGTTGATTATAAAAAAAAACCGACCTTAAAAGTTCGTGGAATTACATCTATCTGCCAAGTTTTATTGAAATCGGTTACCGGAAAGTGCGCGAAACCGGATTCGTCCCCTAGTTTGACGCTTTTGGAGGTGGAATATTTTCTTCATATTTAAATGGGACCAATACTAAGGGACCTTCTTTCCATAAAAAAAGAATCATAAAAATCAATTCACATATAAACCCGTAACATACAAAAAAACAGTCGCATTTTTTGAAGTCGATTAAAAATTAACTTCGGGGGATACAATGCAGAATACCCAGACCATAAGCCATTTTGAAAAATTCGTTTTCCAAATCTGTCTCATCTGGAAAGCGGAATTGCTATAGTGCTTGATCCACCACTGCTCCATTCCTGTAGATTGTTTCTACTCTTTTTACATATTTTTACCAAGATGTCGATAAAGATATCGTACATATTACCCTCTAGGTACATGATGGTACTGCACATACGAAGCGACCCATCAACTCTGTTGTCGGGTCATGCAATTAATCTTCATCATCACCCTTCATCAACTATTTTAAGAAAGTCGTATCATACAAGCGGTTCAGCATTTGCCTTATCTACCTATAGTTTTCTATTTCTCTAACTCTGTTTATTAATAAAAAAATATCCTTGGCACGATCAATAAATAACTTTACCGAAAGATCAAAATAATCGCTGCGTGCCAGTCTCGGTTACTCCGAGTTGAACTAAAAGTTGTATCCGCCGTATCCCGGTTTCCATGGCGACCGGTAATCCCGTATAACCGGCTAAATTTGATAGTTACTGAAAATCATCGTGAAACTTTATTCGAAATAGAATGAGCCAATAACTTCTATGTTGATGAGCAGATTTTTTTGAGTTTGTATCACAAATGTACGTAATATGTTGTTTTGTGAGTAGGGTTTTTACAGTTTGTTTGATAGATATAAATAACTTCATGACGGCTAAAATAACTAATAACTTAAAAAATAACTTTAACTTTGCGATA